CCCAAATGTAAAACCGTATTTCTCCAAGGACAAGCGACCTTGTGGCACTAGTACTTACAGAAAACTTTTAATTTCCGTAACTTAAAATTTCCATACCATGAAACTAATCATAAAAACAAATGTTAGAACAAAAATCCTGTTTTTCTCATACCACAAAACAAGGCCTATATTGGAAGTTTCTTTATGGATTTTCAAACCCTTTTAATCTCAAAATAATATCTATATTTATTAAGATTATACCTGTATCAGTCACTCTCCTCAACATTTCACATACACTATTTCTAAATCACCGAGTGCAAGATCAACTACCAGATACTGGTGTTGCAGTACTATATCCTTGAGACATGAACTTTTCTTATGTTAAGCCCTGCAATTCAATGAAATAGGTATGATTACTCCTCTTTAGAGATGAGAAAATTCATCTGTACAGGGCTCAGAGAACAGGTTCTGAAGATCCTGTTCTCTCCAATGCAGGGCTTGGCTATAGCCATCACGGTGATAAAAGGCTCCCTCTCCTTGAGATTTAATTCTCTATTAAGAATAATGTGGAGTCAAAGACAGAAATGAAAGTGCAGATAACAGGTGGAGATCTCTATCAGGTGGAGGGACCTGACAAAGTTGGTTCTAGAACAGAACTCATTGAAAAGCTTACGGCATGTAAGGGACCCATTGGCCAGGAGCTTGGTAACCCATTATAAAGGCAGGAGCCTGGTAGCACTGAACAAAAGCAAAACAACAAAATGCTTCTTCTGTTTCTTGATGTTAGGTCAGGAGGAGGCTGAAGATTTATTTGATGCTGATTTAATGCCTATCAATCCAGTTCTTATATCAAAAGCAGGATTCAAGAGCAGCTTGTGATAAAAGTGCACAATAAGGCTTTGAAGGCACAATAAAAAACTAAGTGGGAAGAAGGGAAGCAATTACTCCAACCACTGAAGCTAAGTGTGTATAATTGCTGTCCCTGGAGGGAGAGCTTAAATTCTAGTATGTCTGTATTATAGATACCATTTGCCAATGGATTGGACAACAATGAGCCATAATTAAATTTTTATGAAAGCACATCTGCACCAGAGTTAACCTGACTCTTACAGAAGAATAAAGCATTTTCAAATGTAACAGTCGTGGGTAGAAAAGAGCTGGGGAAAAAGCTCTGAAATAAAACAGACTTCATTGGATTTCTGCCTCTCTCTCTTCCTTTGAGAGACTTGGCTTCATTAAATGTTTTTGAGCCTCAAATTCCCTACTAGTGAAACGGAATAACAGTGTGTGTATCAACTGGTTTTCAGGATTAAAACTCATGATCATTCTGGAGAATAACAAATACATACCTTTTCTGAGGAAACAGAGCACAGCACAGAGGAGTAGCAAATACCAAGCTTAAAAAACAAAAAAAGACAGATCAAAGCATTTTGAAATGGCTGACTTTTTAGATTCTTTTTCTCTTTTACATCTACAATCATTCCCTTTCTTTCGTGCAAGCATTATATTGCCTCACTAAAATATAGTTTGTGTAATTTTATTAACAAGGACAGCCAAAATAATTTCTTAAAAATGTCAGGGGTAACAGGAGTTTAAAAAAGAATCAGATTAATGATAACAAAATAAAATAAATAAATAAATTAATTAATTAAATTAAATAAAAAAGAATCATGCAAATAGCTCCAAAAGTTGCAGATTTCTCTTTATTTTAATCTAATTGTTAGGACCCTAAGTCCCAGGTGTTCTGGGATGGTCCCATTTTCAAAACTTGTGTCCCATTTTATCTACCCTTTCCCTTCCCTTTCATATGCTGTATATTTATCTTTAGAAAAAAATTAATTATGTAAAGTAATTCTACTCACCAGAAGCCAACTAATCCAACTTGAACAGGTGCGCTCATCCATGGGAACCTCTGTGTTGAGAAATAAATTATTTTGACTACCTCCGTCTAGGCTCTTACAGACAATTTCTTCTGCTGATTAACTGGGAGGAAATGCTCCACATTACAAGATCCAGATGGAAAGTGATTAGTGAAATTGGGGTTAACACTGCAACAAGCATATTTAGTCCTGACTTTCTGTGGCCTTCCTTCATCATCAATGAATGCACATGCAAAGATCAAATGGCTTTTCTCACATTTTCCCCCTGAACATATATTCTGAGAGATGCCTGCAATATACAGGAGGTAGAGACATCACTCTTTCACTTACAATGTACCCCCTGCTTGGAGAGGCAGTAGAGCCTGGTGCCATGGGAAAACAGACCTGCCCTACTAGTATGCTCCCAGCTGCAGGGCAAGGGCAGGCAGAGCCCAGTCCCTCCAGGCTTCGGTTTCCCTATTTGCCAAATGAGCGTCACAAGTGGTTCCTGAAGGCGTGTGGGTGAAGATACAGCAGGTAATATTCATAAAGCACCTGGAACTTAGCGGAAACCCAAACATTCCCCCTTCCTCCCCTGCTCCTCTTTCTTTCGTTGGGTTTAGTTTCTGTCAGTGGCTGGTGTTTTTGCCTGTCACTTTTTAAAAATGGAAATGAATGAGTTGGTTGGCCTTTTGGAGAGTAAGTATTGTTAGACTTTTCATTTTCAAAAAGGAGTAGGACCAAAACGCACAACATAAAGAGTGATGAGATATATGGTTATATAAATAAGGCCACTGAAACAGGTGCAAACAAGCTGTGCCCTGGTTGTAATGAAATCAGCCAACTTAGTTTAGAGTCAACACAAGCTGTTAAAAGATCACGATCCCAAGAAAGGCTTGAGTGAGAGGCGTACCCCAGTCTCTGGGCAGACTCCTCTGGTGGAAAGGTACATCATGTGGGTTAACGTGAGCGCAGAGGCAGGGACTAGAGAGGAAGGGAGAAACGCTGTCAAGAGGAGGCAGATCCACAGAGCTTAGGCAGAGGGGCCACACCCCTCGAAGGAGAGCAAGGAAACACTGTACTGTGGGCAACCGGCTCCTGATGATGAGGGGTTTTCAGAAGGAAATGTAGATCGTCACCCGAGCAATTCCCAGACATGTGACACGTGAGGCAGTACACAGACCTGGTGATGGGAAGGCGGGCTGCGTACTGAAAGAGATCTTGCAGAAGGAGGAGCTTGGGCCCAGGAGAGCAGCCTCCTCATTCCAAGTGGACGCCTGTCTGAAGCAAATGGGCCTAGCTTGTTATCCCAGGAACAGCTGTGTGTCACCTCAAAGAACAGCATGCACAAATGAAAGGCTGACTGTGTGTGCACAGTTTTTCTGGAAAGGCTCTTGGTAATGGCAAGGATCCCCGACAGCTCTGGCTTACTGGTGAGACCCAACCTGGACGCCATCCCTTCTCCCGACTCCTCTCCAGCACCCCATGCTGCCTAATTCACCCCTCCTGCTGAAACAGACTTAGTCTGAGACTAAATCAGTGGGCTGTGGATGTTGGGTCTTCCCTATATACTCACAGAACACCTCGATGTAGGCTCATGTCTTACCTAGCACAGAATTGTGCAAACACAGAATATTTCAAATGAAAGTTAAGTGAATTAAAAACAGTAACGTAAGTTTAAAAGACATATATTCAATGAGGCAGAAGCTCAAAAAGTTAACCTGCCTCTAAATTCCCCCTCCATACCACGCCCTCCACCACTACCAGGATGTCTTTTCTAATGGCTTGACATATATAGTAAACTACACATATTTAATGTGTACAATATCAGTTTTTACATATGTATTCAGGTCTAAGCCATCATCACAATCAGTATAATGAACATACCCATTACCCCTAATACTTCCTGTGTTCCTTGCGCCCATGGCAATTCCTCCCTGGTTCCCTAAACCCTGCACCCCATTCCCTGGCAATCTCTAATCTACTTTCTGTCACTATACATTACAGTTTATATTTTCTAGGATTTTATATACAGCACCTGCTCTTCTGTGTAATTATTTTGAGATTCATTCATGTTGATGCATGAATCAATAGTTCATTACTTTTTATTGCTAACAAGGTGTTCCACTGCACGGATATATCACAATTTGATAATCCATCCTCCTGTTAATGAGCATTTGGGTTGTTTCCAGTTTTTAGCTATTGCAAATAAAGCTGCTGTGAACATGTATCTTTGATGGATACATTCTTTCAAATACCTAGGAGTGAAATGGCTGATCAGATGGTAAGCATATGCTTAACATTTTAAGAAACTGCCTGTTTTCCAAAGCGATTGTGCCATCAGCCTGATATGAGAGTTCCAGTTTTACATTCTCATCAACTTTATTAGGGGAGGTCTTTTTTTTTTATTAGTGAAGTATAATTGATATACAATATTATCCTGGTTTCAAGTAAAAAACATAGTGGTTCAACAGTTACCCACATTAAATCCTCACCTCCCCTAGTATGGTTACTATCTGTCAACATAGAAAGATGTTACAGAATCATTGACTGTATTCTCCATGCTGTACTACCATCCCTGTGACCAACTTATATTATGATTGAGATTTCTGTGCCCTTTTATCCCCCTCAATCTCCCCACCCACATACCCCAAACCTTCCCCCATGATAACCACCAGTCACTCCTCACTGTCTGAGTCTACTACTGTTTTGTTCATTTTGTTTAATTTCGTTTTTAGATTCCACATGTAAGTGGAATCATATGGTATTTATCTTTCCATACCTGGCTTATCTCACTGAGCATAATACCCTCTAGGTCTACTCATGTTGTTGCAAATGGCAGGATTTCATTCTTTTTTATGGCTGAATAATAATTCATTGTGTATATGTGCCACCTCCTCTTTATCCATTCATTTATTAATGGACACTTTAGTTGCTTCCATATCTTGGCTATTATAAGTAATATGGCAATAAACATAGGGGTGCATATATGTTTTTGAATAGGATTTTATTTTCTTCAGGTAAATTCCTGGAAGTGGAATTATTAGTAGTATGGTATTTCTTTTTTTAATTTTTTGAGGAACCTCCATATTGCTTCCCATAGTGGATGCACCAATTTACATTCAATAGTGTAGGAGGGTGCCCTTTTCTCCACATCCTTGCCAACTCTTGTTATTTCTTGACTTTTAGATAGTGGCCATTCTAATGGATGTGAGGCATTATCTCATTGTGGTTTAGATTTGCATTTCTGGGCAGTCTTGTTTATTTTAGACATTCTAATAGGCATTTAGTGGTAGCTCATGTAGTTCTAATGTGAATTTCCCCAATAACTAAAGATACTTAGCATCTTTTTATGTGCTTATTTGATATCCATATATATTTGGTAAAGTATCTGTTCAATCACATTGCCCATTTTTTATTGGGTTTTCTTGAATGAGTGTTGAAGGTTCTTTATATATTCTGGATATAAGTTCTTTATCAGATACATGCTTTGCATAAGTTTTCTCCTAGTCTGTTTCTTGTTTTTTCATTTTCTTTAATAGAATTTTAACTTCATTTTGATAAGGTCCAATTTATCAGTTTTCTTTTACACTGTGCCTTTGTTGTGTAAGGAAATCTTAGCCTAACTCTAGATCTCAAAGATGGTCTATTATCTTTTCTTCTTGAAGTTTTACAGTTGGAGATTTTTACATTTAGAGTCATGAATCAGTGGGCATTCACTTTTGTATGTGATATAGTCAGTTTCCTCCACATGGCCAGGCAACCTGACCATCCACAAATCCCCCAACAAACCATGCTGTGTCTTCCCTGGGCTTCTGCAGAGCATGTGCCCTTGACCAGTCCTATTCAAATCTCAACCCACTTACCACAGTTGGGGGGTGCTTCTTTGCTGCTCTGTGCCTTGTGGTATAATCAGCACGGACTGGACCTCCTCTTTCCATCATTATGCTACACAGCTCCCAACAGCAGGGCTCAAGCCCTGTTTCTATGACTCTAGCACCTAGCGCTCTGCTTGGCAGACAACAGGTGTTCAGCAAACGGATGCTGACTAAGCAAATGAATGAATGAACAAATAAATGCTACACTCACACTCTATCGCAGACAATCCTGAGAATCTACTGCGTAGATGGAACAGTTCCCTGCTATCAAAGGAATACAGACAAAGGAGAAATTAAGGAATGAGGAACTATGATCTGACCCAACACACATCAATTTTCTTCCCAATGCAAATGCCAGCAAGTTAAAGAGACCACAGGAACAATCTTTCAAGAAAGCCACTGTTTGAAGTACTGGATTTTAGTCAGTGGACTTTCTGATGTACTGCAGAGATTTCTGTGGGTCACGTGCCTACAGCTATGCTTCATCCAGCATTCCACTCAGGAGAAGATAAGGGGCAGGGGAGGAGGGCTCATGTAGAATGCTCTTCAAGCTCCCCATTTAAAAAAGCCAAGAATGGTCATTTCATGTTTGAAGAGGAGTTTGGTCATATCCAAAGCAAAAGCCCAGATAAGTACATCCTTGCAAAGAGGCACCTCTAGCCACTGGAGCTGTCGGAGCAATCAGAGGGCCGACAAGCAGACATTATAAACTGCTGAGAAATGACCTGTGGAACCTTTGTAACAGGGGCACAGCAAAGCCTGCTTTTCAGAATAGCATTTGAAAGTGCTCTGAAGATGCAAACACATGGATATTAATGTAAGCTGCCTCTGCCTATGGTTTGGTAACAGCTATTTTATCAATTAAATCCTATGTTCCTCTCTATGGGGGCAAAATGCAATGTCAGCGTAACAGCAGTCCTGAACTTAGGAATGTATGTGTTTATGAGTAGCTCAACAACACTTAGCCATGGCTTTTTCTCTGCTGAGGCCTGAGGGAGTCCAGCTACAGCCAGACCCCCTACAGCCAGTGAGGTGCTGGACTGACCCATGAGTTACTCTGCCCCTTCCGAGCTTACCACAAGGGTTCTGAAGCCAATGGCCCCTTCTGGCTCCGGGTGACGCCCTTCAGCGTTGGAATTAGGGCAGGCTGACAGCTTCCTTGTGAAGGGTAGGTGAGGTGGCACACCTCCAAATTATTACTGAAGGGTCCAGTATTAAGTAAGCAAAGCTAAAAACTGCAAACTACAACGAGGGAGGAAAACTCAAAGTTTATTCATTTATTATTGTGGAAAAGGACAGTGTGGCCATTGTGGGCTACCTTCTTGTACCATTTGCTGGTTCCTTCATGTAAGAAAATGACAGGCTGGCCCTATGGCAATTTCTGTCAAAGAAAGAAAATGCGGCAGTATGCCAACTATGTTTTTTTGTCCAGTGTTTGTCACTGAGAAATCAGAGTAAAAGGGGCAACTTTTCGGCATTAAGATCCCAGGAGTTCAGGGGCGTGACTGAATTGGGAGGGTGAAAAAGCAACTTCATTTCACGTTTTCCTCAGTGTCCTAACTTTGCAGCATTAATATAAGTTCAAAAGCAGACTTTTTGGGGTAGAATTTCTGGAAATCCAAGCCATGATCAGGATACATGCTAGCAGCTAGTGTAGCCAGTCCTCACAGGCTGGGGGCAGACTCCATGGCCTAATGTCCCACCATCAGTGGCAAGATGGGGAGCTTCTACTCCACACTAGAGGTTGGGAGGCAATTGAAACGTTGAGAGAAAGGACTGTAAAAGCTTCAAGAGTGGGGACGCTGCCACTGAAGGTGGCCTCCAAACTGCTTTCACAGTCATCTGCAAGTTCATGACAATCCTAACACTGTTACACTACTGGTGGAATGATCCACATGTACTACTCCTCTATCCCAGAAGCTGTCATTTTTATGTCCGACAAACTAACATGGCAAGATGATAGTCTCCAAGTCTTATATCTACCTAGAAATCTGGTATTGCTTTAAAAAAAATGATTTTGCTTGAATTTAGCAGGAGTGGAAGGTTAGGTTTATTAAATCCATTTTTGATTTTCCATTGTTTCTGAGGCTGACATGTGGATACCTTAAAAATTAACGACCAGGCAAGTCAAAAGACTGTCTGAGTCAGTATGTGTCTTTGCAGAAATACTGTAATCCTAATCATTTATCAGATCAAGAGCCAGCAGAAAACACAAGGCATCAATTCAATGTCTGCAAAGCTATGGGCCCACTGAGTGGGCCACCCACTCCTAATGTCCTGGAGAAAGATGTTGATGGACCCCATTCTCAATTCATTTGATAGGTTTTCTCCCTCAAAGCCTAAATCACTTCCACAAGTAAAGCAGGATGGGTAGAGGAAGGAACATTAATTTTTTCCATATTATCTGAAAAGCAAGGAAATGTCAAAGTTGGTGAATTCCAAAGGTTTATGTAATTTGGTATTTTTAAGATGTCATCCCTGAGTATATAAACTAATCCATTAGCAGTATTTAAGAGTTATCTTTCCTAAACTTTGCACCAGAAAGAGACTGGCAAAACAACTTCCATGAATTCTCAAAATAACTTCTGTAAGTGGGTAAAATGTCAAATGAGGCTATCGTTACATTTTGGTTTACATGAATAGCTTTACTGCTTGAATATATGTAACATCTGTATTTGTGCTTGAGGCTGTCAGACCCGCACAGGAAATGGAAGGGGACTCAGGGCTTGTGAGGGCGCAGCTTCCTGGGATAGGCCAGGGTCTGTGGCTTTCCCCGGGAACACTCCACCACCGGTTCATACTGACATGCAAGACGGCTAGGAGCAGCGGCTCAGGGAATATAATTCCTCCACAGGTCCAAAGCTCCCAGGAGAGGATATGAGAGGCGGAGAGCACCATTCCCTTACATGGCATTGGTGCATCGGCAGGTGACAATTCAAGCACATTGGTCAAATGAGGCGCTCAACATAACGGTGTCTTCACAGCATGCTTTCTAAGAACGTAATCGTATTTGAAAGTGTTTATGGAGAGTTCACTTAGTGTTGGCCTTAGTTTTCCTTCCAGGGCCTCTAGGGAGCACACAGGTCAATGAACCTATCTGTGGGATGTTTAGAATTCTCCTAATGACTGAATAACTCAGGAAGGCAACTATGTTTGTCTGGGAACTATCTTCTTTTCTCAGATCTTTTTAGTGTCCCCTCAACATTACTGTTCTGTTTCTAAGACTCCAAACAATTCACCCCAACAGACCTGCAGTCTTCATCACAAAACACCTGTTCCTCCATCAAGGAACCTGAGCAGTTCTTCTGGTAGATCTAACTATGTCACTTTCCCCACCAAGGGCCAAATGAGTCACCCTACCCCACTGTATCCTACTTGTAAGATTTGGGAAACTAAGGTGATGCCTAAATACTGCTGCATTAAATCACAGAAGCTACAAAAGTCAATGTAGAAAGAATGCATATAGCACATTGAGATTTCTTGGTTAGTTTCGTCTTGTAATATTTTCAGACCTTGAGGGGAGGAAGCTAACAGATTAATGTATTACTAGATATGATCACCAAAGAACAATCCATTGGGGCACTCAATTCAGTGCTCAATGAGGCTACTACTCCAAATTCTTTTTTCATTTCTGATAGGATGGATAGTGACTTATAAATACACTGTTCCAAATTCTCCCCATCTCTTCATTATTACCTAGCTAGGCATTCCACCGATGACTAAGGCAAGTATATAACTGAATTATAACTTCTCAAGAGAAGTGGGTAGCAGTCTTCATTTCTGAGAGCTCTTTAAAATATCTGCGATCAGAAACAAAATGTTCTTGGAAACATCTTTTTATTTATGTAAGTGCCCAAGTGCCACTGGCCTTCAAATTCTTCATTCACTATTCATGTAGGAAATACGCTCTATAGTTTGAGGTCTGAAAAGGAATTGAAAGGATTGACATGATGATAAATAGAATTGAGGCTTACCTTTAGGAAGGCTTTCTTTTCCAAAGTATTCATGATAAATGGAGGGATGGCTGTAAGTAAAGACAGATCCGTTTACATCTTTACTTAAGGTCTATTTTCAGCTCACATTTTTTCTCTTAACAATTTCATAAAAGGCTGATGTCACTGTTAGGCTACTTTCAAATTGGCAGAGTTCAACTATTTGTAGTAATTCTTTAAAATACTTTAATGTTAAAAAAAAATTCACTGTTCCCATTCTCTAGATTTTTGAAGAATAATGTAATGCTCCTTGCCAGCCAGACCATTTTATAAACTTGAAGAGAACTTTACAACTAACTTTAAATATGCAGCAGTATGAACATCAAGAACCCTTCCCTCCTGTACTAATAAGACAAACACAGCCTTCCCAGGGCATCTATCCTACAGGGAGGATAGTGCCAAGAACCCTGCTTTGAGGGGTCCTGGAAAAGTTCTGTAACTTCTCTAGGCCTCAGTATTGTTTCCCTCATCTATAAAATGGAGAGAATTGAATCAAACTGGCCATGATGAATTAGATGCAATAACACAACACACATAGAAAACTGGGTAGTGGTAGTTCATTTGTGCATAATTTTCATCAGACTGAACTGTCACATCCACCACTTCAATATGACAACTGCCTTTAGAGATTTCACTGGGATAGAAAGATTGTGTTTCTTCCCTGGGGACTAAAAAAATGTTTAAAATAACCAATCCACTGGAAATAGATATGTTGGGCTGGCTGAACTCCAAAGAGGAGTCTCGTATTTCACAATGAGAAAGAATAAAACCACAAGCAAACCCTGGATAGAAGCTGGAGTTGCAACCTTTATTTCGACAAGTCTAGAAATCTGGGCTCAGCGGGCATGCATGTTGGGGTGGGCTCCCCAGCCCCCTTTTAGGTTAGTGACAGTGTGCCATCCTGGGCTCAGCGGACTCGGCCTACATTGCACACTGTGGTTTGCACAATGCATCCACCCTGCAGTGCACACTGCCATCTCATGAGGGCGCCGAGGGGCTCCCTTGTTCAATCAATTAGTGGTGGTTAAATCAGATAATCTCAGTTAGCTGGAATGTGGCTGACACGTTCCTCAAAGTTTTCCTTCATTCCCTTTTCTTCAACTCTTCTTGTCCACTCCTACTCATCTGCTGATGAGCATATACAGTGACAAACGGAATTTAAAGACAACAAAAAATATTACTGGGAAAACTTAACAGCAGCTGATTACATATGCTTTCTTTGGGAGTTAATAGCCAAATTCAGTTTAGATGATGAAATTAACCATGTTTAATGGTTAGAAAGAGCAGCAAAACTGCCAGGCCCCCTGGTCTCTGAGTAAGTCTGAGAACCTCCTCTAGGCCCCTAGTCTGACGGTAGCTCTAGGAAGCCTTGGGAGTACACCAGAGAGCCTCAAGGAAGTGAATGCAAGTCGATTTTCTGCCTTTGGGCTGCTGACTCCAAGCTCTGTGAACAAAACTGAGTAGTAGTTTGGCAGGTATCTTAAGAGCTGCCCTAACAACTCAATTTGGTTCATGTTCCAAAACTTTCTAATTGATAAAGATAACAACTCTTCAGTAGAAATTACTCCTATTCAAGAACTTCTGGAAGTTTCTTTTCAAGATTTACAAAGATCGAATTCTTTGCCTTCAAGTTCTCTCCCCTTAGGCTGTCATAGCCCTGGTCCCTGGGGACTGCCAACCCGCCCGTCAACACTTGCTTGCAGTGCTGTGACAGCTTCCTGACCTGTCTCCAATTGTCATTCTTGCCCCCTCCTGAGTCTGTTCTCAACACAGCACTCACAGTTATGCACTCAAAACCTACATAGGATTATGCCACCCCCCTGCTCAAAAACCTCCATGGTTTCCTATCCCTCAAACTAACAGCTAGGGCTTGAAACCCTACGGGGCCATCCACGTTCTGCCCTGGGGCCTTGCTCATTACATCCTACAGTTCCCACCTCCCCGTCTGCTCCAGCTGCACCTGCTGCCCTGCAATGCTCCCAATGCGCCAGGCAAGCTCCCCCTCTCCTGCCATCCTCTCTGCCCGAGACATTTGCCGCAGGGCCCACTTGGCTCACTCCCTCGGCTTTAGTCCTCTTCCCTCGTCTTCCTGTCTGCTTCCACACCAAGACCCCCAATCTCTCCTTCTCTTTAGCCCTATTATCATCTCACATATTACATATATTACTTCCTTTGTTTATTCTCTGCCTCCCCTGACAAACAGTAAGTTCCATCAAAGGGTATAATTCACCCCCCCCCCCCGGCTCCACCGATGCATAAACATTTCTTCAATCTGTATCTACTCAAAAAATGCATGGATGACGGAGTTCTACTAACCCATGCCAGGGGCTGCCATGAGAATCCTAGAGACGACGACCTGGGTGATGGCTTGTTTTGCAGCATTTGCTGACTCACCCAAGCGGTTCCCATTTTCATCTGTGACAGGAATGCCAACTTTGAGTTCCCTACAGGGCAAAACACGTGCAAAGAAGTTCAAAGATGTCTTCCTGAAACGGCTGAAAATAGTACTATGCTGTGAGAGATCAAGTCGCTCCTTAGTCTGAAGACCCACTCAAGTGTCAGTTTGGCACTAACAGGTCTATTTATTAATACCATGGATGAGTTTAATCCACGTGTGATAGACACAAAAGTAAAACAACACTAGTTAACTGTTATAAAAAAAAAGTGTAGCATTTTAAATAACAGTATGACTCAAAGGATGAATATGCTAACTTAAAGAGAAGGTTATTTCTGTGCTCATGATTGAGCAACTTTCCAAACAAGAGAGAGAGATAATACATGGCATTATTAAGTCAAATATTTATAATGACATAGGGGTCACTAGTACATGGCACTACTGGATATTTAACTACAGTTACTAACACTAAAATTATAGCTCCTGTTGTTACCCTGTTTTTTGTTATCCATTCCAAAATGCTTTTCCTTGTTCTTTCTTCTCTTCTAATTTTTGCCAGTTCTAAAAAAATACTCCCAAAGATAGAGATTAATACTATTTTAAACCCAATCAGAAAATTCTGGGGGAAGAGACCTTCCTCCTTTGCCTAGTCTAAGCACAACTAAATGTAAGTCTGAGATACATAATTTAACCTTTTCATAACACAGAAGTTGAAAGAGTACTCTAAACCCCCATGTATTCACTGGCCTACTTAATAATTAGCAACTGCTGGCTAAGCTTGTTTCATCAATGGACCCATCCTCACCCCCAACATAAATTATTTTGAAGTAAATCCCAGATCTCATATAATTTCATCTAAATATTAAAATGAATTTTAATTATTACAAAAGACTCTCTGTCAAGCACAAGTCCTTTTAAGAGTGCATATTCATCTTACCTTTGCCTCATTAATGGAATATTAATACAGTTAGCAGCAGCTACCGCAGCAAAGGGAACAAAACGTCCTATAAGTGGTGAGACATGCTGCAGAAAAGATAATTCCAAAAGCATTATCTTACTTTTCCTTACTACTGAATGAAAATACTTATTTCTCCTTGAAAATTGCTAAAAATGCAGAGTCCTGTTTATTTAGAAACTCAGGCCAAGGTACTTTCAAAACTTGTTTCCTAGTGGTATTTCTATATTTCTGGTAAGGGTATATCCTGAATGCAGACTTCCAAGACATTTGGACAGCTTAGTGTGGTTGATGGAGAAGGGGGTTTTGCAGTCCCAGTGTCAAGAGTTTATCTGTTGGCTCCCCAACTTCTTCAGGGGTGTGGCCTCTGGTGGGCAGTTGGGGTAGGTGAACATTTGGCACTTCAGACATAGCACCAGGTCATACCAGGGTCTTGGCAGAAGTTACTGGTGACATCCCTTCCCAAGCTTATTGGATGATAAACTGAAATATACAGTGGAAGATAATGGCTATGATAAAAAAGTCATAGGGCTTGAACTATTTTCAGAAACAACAGACTTAGAGCCAGGTAGCTTGAGAACAAATTAAGAAGCTGTACTTGGAAAATAAGAATCTGCGTACCTTGGTTAATGCATTGAGTCCTAGGGCTGTTGCTACAGCACCAGTAGTTGCAGAAACATAAGCTGTTCCCAATTCACTAAAAAGAAAGAGAATAGTACATAAACAATGTCAGGAAATGCAAATTCTGCAAAGCAACATTTGTTATCACTATACAAGGAGAGAAATTCAGAGAAAAAGCACGTAGCCCCATAAAAAATGGCATTCTTCACATATAACCTAACTACAACTGAAAACAAGTAACCACGTAAAATAGGTGTGTGTCTGGAAGGAAGGGAGCTGTGAGTGACTGGAAGCTGCAAAGGCAGAGAAATGCCTATTGGCCTAAATGTTCACAGCTCATTTGCTTAAATAAAAAAGACTTCCCCAAATATTAACATATTATATATATTCATATGTAATATACAAATTATTATAATTACATACTATATATAATGTATGAATATAATAGAAACTTAATGTTTTATGTATTTAATATTATATAAATTATATATAATTACATATATTATATGTAATATAACATAATGTAAGTAAAAATGCAATGCTGCCATTCTTAAATTCCATCTTCTTATATAAAAATACTAAAAGTCTCATCTTCAACATATGCTTAAGCACAAGTAGTTTTTTCTTATTTTAAAATAAAATTTAATTCAAGGATTAGATGAAATGAAGGTGTGATGAACACTGCTGGTTGTAGATTGCCGTATCTTTTGTTCCATATGATGAAGGTAGAAGAATATGGACTGTCAAAAGCAATTTAGAGTGATAAAATAGAAAACCCTTTAAGTGTTACACAAGTTGTGCTAAAAGTTGTGGTTAACAAATCACTTTAGCCTGTCTAAACATTTTTTTACAGGAAGCAAAATTTTAAACTTAATTGCTTTCTTTTTGGCTCCACAAATGACTTATTTTAAAGAAAAATCACATATAAAAGTCCCCTTGATTTCTGTAGAGATCACACTGCTGACACTGCTACTTCGGCCCCTGGTTATCTGTCCACAGGCAGGGGCAGGTGGGACCAGTTTGTTGTTTTGTGCAGGCCAGCCCTGGGCTGCCTGTGGTGTGTGCTGCAGGGGAAGGAGCCCCAGGGCGGGGGGGCACGTCCTCCTGCCAACGGTCACCATCTGCATGAGTAATGTCTGAGACAGCAGGCTGGACAAGAGTTCTCTTGACAGAGAGGGAGGAAAACAAGCACTACTTAATAGAAGTATGCTCCGTAATATTCTCAACAATGTAAACAATTTGTGCAAATCTACTTTATTAAACAGGAAAGTATTGCCAGTGAGTCAAATGAACACTAGACGGGTGCAGTGGATGGTTAATCTTGCAGTCTTACTTCATAGTGAGGGGGGCGTCTCCACTTCTGTTGGTGTAATTGACCACGGCATTGAAGGACTGGTTAACCCACTGCCAGAAGAGCACGGCCGGTGTGGTCCTAAAACAGAGCGATCCATCATATACCGGCCATCACCTGTGACCTAGCCGCTGTGCAGAACAGAAAATGTGAACACCGGTGACCAGAGAGGAGAGGACTACAGAAGGGAGAATGCTGGGTCAAAGACTGCATGTTCTGGGTCAAAAGCTTAGGACCTGTGTGGCCGGGCTGAGTTTTCAGGGATTCTGTTTCTTCATTCATTAGATATGGGTACACCAAACTCAGAGGGTTACAGTGAGGTTGGAGTTACCTTAAACTTCAACTGAAACTTGTAAGAGAGCCTGGCACAGAGTAGGGACTCAATAAATGTTAGGTCCCTTCTCTTGGGGAAAAAAGAAGCCATTTGTAGGCTAAGTAGTCTTGATCCATCCTAACTGCGTATGCAGGCTTTAAGGTCTATGTATGTATCTACATCTAAGCCTATACCTATACCTACACCTGCATTTGTTTAGAGACAACTTTTTATTTCCTTCTCCATCTTATTTTCTTTTGGGTTTAAGATTCAGGGACAGATTCAGCCTCCTTTTGAACAGCAGAGAATACTATTTAGCAGAGGAAAAAGGTAGAACAACCCCTGAAGTTGGAACACTTATACAAAATGGAACTCAAAGTGAAAAAATAAAACTACTTACATACAAATGTACTTTCAGCTTCTGTAAGTACTGAACTAGCTATGATTACATTTCCATAACTCACCTATAAAATGTCATCATACAACCTGTGATGGTCATGTTCATTGGAACCTGAGCTGACATTCTTCCTATCAAAATCATCTTCTCGCCAGTGTCGGGATGAAAAGCTGAATCATAGATGTACTTTGCTCTCCATAATTCATTTTCTGTGAGACCTGGAGGAACAATTCCTTGTCTAGGAAACAACAACAAATGACATAATGATTGTTCATTTCAAGTATCTCACCAGTGCTGTAGGATACATGTAGGTGGAAAGTTTTTAAGTTTATACTTATCTAAAACAACTGGCTGGATGGAATGGGAAATATAACTCCAATTACATAGTGAAATTTTAATGACACAAAGGACAGTAAATACTCAAAATGAATATCTCAAACACATATAGCTCAAATTATCTGTAATTTGGAAAAACAAAAACTTATCTTTTATAACAGGCAAGTATTCAACTTTGAAAGTCTTTTCTTAATGACATTTAAAATTTATTTTGAACTTTGCAAACTCTAAAATATTTTTAGCCGATTAGACAAAAGCTGTGGCAATCAAGAATATTAATTCATTTTTAAACTTAGTTTGAAAACCTAGATAAGAAAGGCTCATTATTTTATCTTCTTGTCAAAACAAAAACAAAAACATGTTCACTGCTTGAAATTCAGAAAATACAGAAATTCATTAGAGTAATTAAAACCATTCAAGCCTTTGCCTACTCATCACCATTGGTAATGTTCTGATGAATATACTTTCACTCTCTTCTAGGCTCTATATACACTATCTAGAATCTATGTAAAGTACCATACCTGTTGTACAACTATCCCTTTTAATCAATAAGATTTTGTAAACATTTCTCTGCCATCTTTATTCTTCAATATCATTTATACTTGGGTGAGTAGGGTCCCCCCAGATTCACATCCACTCAGAACCTCAAAATGTGACCTTATTTGGAAATAGGGTCTTTGTAGATGTGATAGTTAAAATGAGGTCAAGCTGGATTAGGGTGAGCCCTAAATCCAATGACTAGTGCCCATGTGCAGACAAACAACAAAGGTCATGTGATGACAGAGGCAGAGACTGGGGTAACGGAGGTAACAAACCAATGGAAGCCAAGAAACAACTAGAGCCTCGAGAAGCTGGAAGAGGCCAGGAACAGTTTCCTCTAGAGCCTTTAGAGGGAGATGGTCTTGCCAACACCTTGATTTCAATCTTAGCCTCTTGCAATTTCTATTGTTTTAAGCCAGTTTGTGGTAATACGTTATAGCAGTCTTAGAAAACGAAGACATCATCCTTTTAAATGCTACACAGTATTCTACTGTATGACTGTAAAACATTATCCTAATCCTCCATTTTTTGGCATTTTAGTTGCTTCTAATCTTTTCCACTTGAAAAGAATGAAGAAGTAAACATCTTCCTAAATAGATCTTTCCCCAATTTAAGATAGTTAGAAAGATATAAGTACATGTGCTGAGACAAAAGTTATATAAACCATTAAAACTAACATGCCTGGATAAAAGGCATATCTTTTTTTATCATCAACAGCAGCAGCATCCTCATTATTTTGGTATGTATGTATGTTTCATATACTGTGGATAATTCTGGTAATTGTGTTATCTGATGCCCTGAAATTTTTATTTTTATGTTGTCAGGTAGGAAGAAGTTTCGAGAAAGACTTGACCACCTTTTAAGATTATACAGATGTCTACCTGTACTTGCATTTTCATAATAATTTTTTTGTCGTTTACATTTAAATTTATTTGGAATACATCATAAGGTACAAAACATGTGACATGTGTTCAGCTTTACTTTCCAGTTGGCTGGTCTGCCATTCCAACACCAAGATTTAAATCATCAACTGAGGTTTTGTGAGTGCTAGGCTTGGGCTCTGGACTTTCTGTAGTGTTCCCATTATCTACCCTGTCAGGTGCTGCTGCCCACCACTTTATAATTTTGATCAATTTTATGTCTGGGAGACCAATGGCCTCTCACTCAATTACTCTTTTTTTCTTTTTTCAAAAATTCCTTAGTTACACCCATTAATGTATTCTTCCCGATAACCCTTAGAATTATTCTGTTAACTTTACAGGCAGTCACAATTGTATTTTGACTGAAACAGTACTAATCTGGAGATTTCTGACACCTCTGTAATATTAAAGAGTTTCTCTTCTGAACATCTCTCCAGCTACTCAAAGGCTTCTTTTAGTGACCTCCCATGGTCTTTGAAATTGCCTCACACTTCTGGCTAAGTATTCCCAGACATTTTATATATATATCGCTTATTCTTTTTGGTCTCATGAATGAGATAAAAAAAATATTATCTAATTATTGCTGTCTAGAAAACTACCAACTTTTTGTGTAAAAGCAGTCCCCTCTTCATGTTCTCTTACTTGTTCCACTGATTTTTCAATTGATTGTTGAGAGTATCATTATTTGCCAAAAAA